TTGTAGCCAGTACTGTAGTAAGGGAGCCCCATAGCTAAATTTGACTTCTAGTTTAAATCAACAAACTACATTCCAGGTGCATCAGAACAAAAGGCAGCCATAGTAGAAAAACTGTCCCCTTCCAGCATGTACTGGGTGTGCAAGGAAGAACATGTAAAGAACAGTATGTGTAAAGCCCAGATGTATTTAATTCAGATGTTTAAATCATAAACATCCAGTGTGTGTCAGGGGTTCAAATGATCCCCTTTCATCAGGGCTTGGATCTGTTGAAAAAAGTGTGTACTGAACTGATTCAATTAGAGGGGTCCCAAGGAGTAGTTAAGAACTTTCCAGATGCTGCTTAAGAGTCAACCTTTGGCCACCACTTCTGGGAGAGGTAATTCATGCCCTCTTCACTTCTCAAGACCTGACTTAAAACACCTACTGCTTTAGGAGGTCCAGCACTTCACACCTTTCTTCAGCATCCCTGCCAGCCTGTATCGGAGTGGACCTCATTCACATGGGCATCTAAAATGCTATATTTAGATGTGTACAACTTGCAGTTTTGTACACATTTAAGCGCAGCACTCTAATAGTCAATGGGGTCATATACATGGCTGTGTCCAAAAGTAGAAACGTGCTCTGCATTTACCTGCATATACAGCACCTAAGACACAGCTGCATCTATAGCCCCACAGATCTGCAAAGTTTATGCCTGTATGCAAATACATGCATGTAAATGTGTGTGCATGCATGCGCACACATGCCTGCATAATTCATTAGAAGAATTGTACATGTCTAAACACATCTAAATGCAGGTGCATAGTTTATGCAGGATCTCATTCTAGCTCCTCGAGCAAGGACCTGCATTCCATGCAGAAAATATGTATATGCCCATGTGAATGATGCCTTAGTCTATGTGGAAAAGCAGAAGCCAAAGCTCTTCTATCATCAGGGACTATGAGCTTTGCTGATTGGAGAACTTTAGGTGTGTAACAGAGAGATCGCTGTTTCAAAACACAGAGTAACGGTCCTTCTCTGCAGTTTGCAAATGGGACAGGTTTTTCTACTCAGGCTATGGCTGCTTTAGAAAGTAAATGAACTGGTGAAATCTTTGAACACCCTTTTCTATGATGCACATGGAATATATTTTGAGTTCAATTGGGCTTTAAACTGGAGCAACAATACCCTCGAAATAAAGACGGATTTTAGAAATGGATTCTAGAAATGGTTTTTAGAAGGAAGGAAAGAGAAAAAAAAAAAAAGAAAAGGGAAAGAGAGAGAAAGAAAGAAGTTTTGGGTTAGAAGAGAATTGCAGAGTGGGGGGGGGAGGTGATTGCAGGAGTAGGGGAAGGGGGGGGGAGTGGGATATAGATAAAATATGTCAATAGGAAGATATTGATTTGATGTCTTTTCTATAGAAGAATGTGATTGTGATTTGTATTTGGTTGAAAATTAATAAATATTTATAATAAAAAATAAATAAACTGGAGCAACAATTAATTTCTGTGCACAAGCAGTAAAAAGATCAGAAAGCAACTTCCCTTTTCTATGGAAAAAAGGAAATGATCTTTCATCAGTGTCACACATTATGTAACATTTTTAAAAAATGCTGTGCAGGTGGATCCTAATGACTGTCACAGTGCAAACACCATTGGTCGGTACAAGAATTATATTGCTAAGGGTACCAGAGGAAATTTGTCATGACATAAAGACTGAGGTCACCATTGCTGATCTTTCCTTCTAAAAATGCTGGTTGCCTGGCTGTCATGCTGATCCTCTGTTTTCAATATGCAGCACCACCCCCGTAGGAACTGCTAGTTTTAACTGGTTCTTCCTGAAACAGTGCTGAGGCTACCAATCACCCAAGCAACAGTCCATTCACTCTGGCTCCAATAAAAAGACTAGGGGGTGTCTTTTTATAATTTATTGTTTGCAAAACTTGTAACAGGAGATCGGTTAGCTTGGTATGGGATTCTCTGGATCGGTTAGCTTGGTATGGGATACTCCGGATCGGTTAGCTTGGTATGGGATACTCCGGATCGGTTAGCTTGGTATGGGATACTCCGGATCGGTTAGCTTGGTATGGGATACTCCGGATCGGTTAGCTTGGTATGGGATATTCCAGAAACACTGAATTATAGCAGGAGGACACACTTCACTAGGCTAGGCTTCTCTGAACAGTCTTTATGTCAAGGGAAAAGGGGAATGGCCAGAAATGAGACCGTGTGAGAGCTACCACTGACAGTTATCACCCCAAAGTAAACAGCACACAGTTACAATGATTTTGAGCCCAGGTCATTACTCACAATGTCATAGGACAGCTGAACTACTCACAATATCATAGGACAGCTGAACTACTCACAATGTCATAGGACAGCTGAACACTTCCCACTTTCCACCGGACATCTGTATGTCACCGGACACAGTTCCCAGCTTCCTCCAGGCTACAGGATGGCGACTCACTCCCAGATTCCACTGGACAATCTTCAGTAAGGGAGAGGTTAATACAATGCCAATAAGTATTACAATCACTGTCAGAATTCCCCCACTGTAGAGATTCAGTCTCCCTTACTGCCCTGATTGTGGCTGTGACAGAAGGTGAGGGAAAAAAAACAAGACTGCTGGAGCGTAGGGTAGAAGAATCTGTGGAGACAATTCTAGCAGTGCAGTGGAGCAGAGGATCGGGTAAGTTAGAGGTGTCAAACTGGTGGCCCTCCAGATGTTGCCAAACTACAATTCCCATCGTGCCTCTGCCTTTGGGAGTCATCTTGTAACTGTCAATCTTGCAATGCCTCATGGGACTTGTAGTTTGGCAACAGCAGTGCGGTGGAGCAGAGGATCGGGTAAGTCAGAGGTGTCAAACTGGTGGCCCTCCAGATGTTGCCAAACTACAATTCCCATCAAGCCTCTGCCTTTGGGAGTCATCTTGTAACTGTCAATCTTGCAATGCCTCATGGGACTTGTAGTTTGGCAACAGCTGGAGGGCCACCAGTTTGACACCCGTGGGTAGGTAAATCTTATTTAACAAGTCCCCTAGAACTACACAAGCAAGTAACCCTTGCAGTGTGGGCACAACCCCACTGTAAGAGATCATTTTTAGTGTGGATTCACATGTGCGTTTTTTTTTTCACAGCAAATTGACAAAGTAGTTGTTCAAGTCAGGATTTTATCCTGTTCACAACTTATGACATGTGTGATTCAGAAATGGTTCCCATAGAAGTCAATAGCCTGTAATCTGCACCTGAACCGTACTGCACTGCTCAGAAATCGGACAGGACTCAAACCGCATCCAGTCTGCATGTACGTGAATCGGCACTAAAACAAATAAAGGAGCAAATTTCCCCAGTGGGGACCCAGACAACAATACAATAAATGGCAGGGGGTCAAACTTTTCCCTACTCAACTACAAAAAAAAGTTTTGCCCTTATATACACTTTATTCTTTTTTTTTAATTTTTGTGATGTGACAGATGCTGAAATGGGTTGCATTGCTTCAAAACACTGGCACCCTAGGACAATGGCTAACCGTAATAGCATTTTGTGTTAATTTTGTAGCTGTTTTTACTTAGTGTTTTAGGTGATCATGTTAATTAAATCTAGTTGAAGCATATGCTACCCTTAAATGCGGTATTTCAGACATGTGCCTGTACTTTTTGATAAATGTAGTCTGTAATATTTTTATTCCTTTGTTAGATGTTAAATACCTGGTAATCCTGCCAGTCCCTCTACTATTCTGTTTTAGAGCCAATTTACACCAGTGTGCTGATTTGAATTTTAGCACAGCTGTAAAACACAGATCAGCAGAAGGACATATGTAAAATAATAATTATGTCCTATTCACACCATAACGCTGCACATGCATGTCAACGGATGTTAAATGTATGTCAACCGGGGCGGACTGATCATTCATGCACTCGGGCACTGCCCGAGGGCCCGGGGTCAGTAGGGGGCTCCATGAGATGCCCCTGGTAGGCTTTTTTGGGTGTGGTTTGAGTTTGGGTGAGGACACAGGGGCCCCTTGAACCCCTATTGCCCGGGGGCCCCATGAGTTGTCAGTCCGCCCCTGATGTCAACGGACGTTAGTGCATGTTAAAACGTGACTAAAATGGATGGAAATGTACATGCATTTTCCATACATTTTAGCGCAAGTCAATGTAAATTGGCCCTTACACTGGTCACGCCAAGGACAGGCACGGATCTGTCCTAGCATGATCGGTTTGCTCCAATTCCTGCAGCTTGGGAGCTACAGGATGTTGTGCCTATGCACAGTGTACATGTACTCCCTTGGTCAGACTTTCTGCTGCCCCCATCCAGCCCTGTGCAGATTGAAAGAGGGACCAGTGAGAATCTCTCCCTTCTACATGGGAGATACAGGGGTGTGGTTATGCTAATATGATTCCCCCAAACCCCTCCCTCCCTTTCTTTCCTACGGTCCTACAAAGTTTGATTGAAAGCAGCTAGGATTTGTGACATTGGCAAAGGTCTCCTCCACCACTCCTTTGAGCTCAGGGTCCCCTGTTAAATAGAAATCATGATTGCTTGCTATTAATGAAAAAAATGTTATTCACAGTCTTTTTTTTGCTTTACTAAAATGTGAATGTGTTGCCTTGTATTACCATTTCACATTGCTTAATGGTAATAGTTCACATCAGTTCTTTAAGCTCATCTAAGATTTGTACACACGTGTCCAACATGTAATTGATGTGTTAAATACAAAAAAATGTTAATATCTTTCAGGTTGAAGTAAAATACAAAAGAGCTTTTGATTATACATACATAGACTATGGCTCTGTCTACTGCGACCACTGCTTTTTCACATATTACCAGACTGAATATGGTATTGAGCCTTTAGATAACAGCTCTGGGAACATCTTTCATCCATCCTGGTACCAAACAGAGAGTTACTCTGTTTTTGTTGTGCATACAGACAAAGATTTTTATTTTAGGTAAGTTCAATCACTTTTTTATGTCTTCTTAGAAGAAAGGGCATCGTAGGTCCCAATCTATGTTGTCCAAGCCTTTTTTGAAATCTAAATGATTATTAACTACTTCCCGTCCGGCCGTTGCATATAAACAGCCGGACGGTGGCAGTGCAGGGTCGGGTGGCCGTTTATAAACGGCCCCACCGCACCCTGCGATCCGGTGCCCGCTGTGTGAAACACCGATCGTTGGACGGGACCTCTGTATGAGGTCCCGATCATGTGATCACTGATTGGCCAATTAGTGATCACATGCTAAGTAGTAAGCAAGATGTCACTTGTGACATCATTGATTACTACGTGTGAAATCTGTGAATGATCACAGAGGTCACATGGTACAAGGCTATTCACAACAGCCTTGTACCATGTGACAAGCTGTGACCAATCACAGCTCACTCAGTACTTCTCAATGAGTGCAAGAATGCACACAGAGAGAAAGAGAAATTATTGCTTTTACATCCTATATGGGTGTAAAAGCAATCAGTGTAAAAAAAAATAAAAAAATCATCATCACCCCCCACAAGTAGTACAGTGTCACCATGGTGACACTGTACTGCTAGGGTGACAGTATGTAAAAAATAATAATAATAATAATGTAAAAAAAATAAAATAAAAACTAATTTGGATTTTTTTTTTTTTTACTAAAAATATAACGGAATAAATTTTGGCAAAGATTTATGATGAAATATTATTTATTTGCAAAATGTTATAAAAAAAAAACACTTTTTTTCAAAATTTTTGGACTTTTTCATTTAAATAGCAAAAAAAATAAAAATCCCAGCGGTGAATAAATACCACCAAAATAAAGCTTTATCTGTCTCAAAAAAATGGTAAAAAATTCATTTGGGTACAGTGTTGCATGACCGCGCAATTGTCATTCAAAGTGTGATAGCGCTGAAAGCTGAAAATTGCCCTGGTCAGGAGGGGGTAAAAGTGTCCGGTCTGGAAGTGGTTAAACACATAACAAAGAAACTGAGTGTGTGTCCAAAGCTAAGTGACAGTGACTTCAAAAATTAAAAATAGCTTTGCATATTTATAAGGATTAGCAATGTGCTTTACATTTGTATCTTGCGCTCCACCAGCTTTCAAGTAAGCAATAGAAATTAAAGGATAAGTTCACCTTTGGGAACATGTTACATGTTCCTCCTGTTTTTAGGGTGGAACATGTAACATGTTCCCAATGCTGCAGCCGCCGCCCGCTGCTCCCCCTTCCTTCTGACAAGTACGGGGAGAAGTTCCCTGTACTATCTGTCATATTTGAAAACAGTGCAGCCGTGCAGGGCTCTGCCCACATGACCGCACCATTCATTCACAGAGTTCTGTGAATGAATGCACTACAAGTCCTGACAGCCTTAGCAGCTGTTAGCTTGTAGTCCTCAATTAACTACCACAGCGCTGTGATAGGTCATGGATCCTTCCTGTCAGTATATCTGCTTGCTCTTACGTCCCGTATGGGAGCAGATATACTGACAGATCTCCAGGAGACCTGCATGGCGCCAGCGATGTACTAATCGCTGGTGCAATGCTTTGCAGGCTCCTGGAAAAAAAATAAAAATAAATGCACATTTATTTATCTGCAAAAAAAAAGTGTATTTATTATTTTTGTGCAAAAGATGAACTTATCCTTTAAAGCAGAATAAACCTATCATTTGAATGGTTTCCATAAACAGTTATATTCAAGACATGCCATGATTAAAAAGTGTCACAGTTGCTTGCACTTTCAGCCAAGCTGTGAAGCCATGAAATGGCTGGTTTCCTAACTCATCACATGTACAACATCATGACAACTGCAGATCAAACCAAGGCCATGATGGCAGCTTCCTTGGCTGTAAATGACAGGAAGGTTTAGTTCTGCTATAATAGAGGTGTAAAGGAAGAAAAGGAAAAAGTCACATGACTGGATTAATTCCAGTCATGGTGTTCTCTCTGCTGTGTTGAGCTCTACACTGCAGCTTGCATTTTATGAATGGCCTCTAAAATGTGCCCTGTGGAATGTATATCCAAACAGTGTGTGTGTGTGAAGTGTGCAGATAGCAACATTTGCATTTTTGCTATAAATCAACCCCTAATGCAGGCCATAGACGGGGAGAAAAACGGCAGATTTTTCTTTTAAAAAACGAAAAATCCCTCTCTGGGTCAGAACGGCGCCCTTTTCATTGGCGCATCAATGATTCTTTATTGACCACTCAGGCTACCTGCCAACAAATAGAATTTTTTTTACGAACATACTTCACGGAAAACGCGGGATTGGTCTCCTCGGCAGTGCCCCTATGGGAGGCGCATAAGGCCACGGTGCGGGGTCATGTTATACAGCTGGCAGCGGTCCGGAAGCGGGAGCGGGAGCGCCGACTTTTGGAGCTTCATTCTCTCCTGGCCTCTGCGGATGCGCGTTGGAAGTCATCTCCATCCGCGGCCCATAAACGCGCTCAGGATGCTCTGGCGGCAGAATTGGACTTACTTGCCTCTTCGGAGGCAGAACGGGCCCTGCGCTGGACCAAACACAAATTTTATTCCTGTGCTAATAAGCCGGGCCCGATGCTGGCCAGGAAACTCAATTCTGTGGGGAAACCCCATAAACCGATTTGACTGCGACTTCCTACAGGTGGCTGTACTTCTAATCCTCAGCAGATTGTTTCCCGTTTCTCAGACTTCCTTTCACGCCTCTACGCTAAACCAGATCACTTCCCCGTGGCTCAAGCAGAGGCATTCTTTCAAGATCTCCGACTTCCTGGGTTATCCGAGGCAGCACAGGTGGCACTCAACGCCGGTGTCACTGTACCAGAAGTGCTCCAAGCTATCAAATCTTTACGGTCCATCGCGGCCCCAGGTCCCAACGGCTTTTCCGGTCTTTATTATAAGAAATTCTCAGCCTTGTTGGCGCCCTTTTTGGCTGAGTATTTTAATGCGTTACGACAGGGCTCCTCGCCCTCTCCAGATGCGCTTAGAGCGCATATCGCCATGATTCCTAAGATGACCGATGATGTACAGGAACCGCAAGCCTTCCGGCCTATTTCTCTTCTTAATGAAGACCTGAAGATACTGGGCAAGATCCTTAGTTTTCGCATCAATAACTATTTGCGTAGCCTGGTCCACAGGGACCAGGTGGGGTTCGTCCCCGGGAGGCAGGCGGGTGATAACGTCCGTAAGGTGGTCCATCTTATACATTTTCTGCAACAACGGAAAATCCCAGGATTCTTACTGTCTTTAGACATCTATAAAGCCTTTGATTCTCTATCCTGGGAATATCTGCGGTTTGTGCTGTCTCGTTGGGGTTTTGGGGATTCTATTCTTTCTTGGATTCAGGCCTTGTATTCTTCTCCTTCGGCCTCCATCAAATACGCTGGGTATTTTTCAGATCCCTTTCCTATTGGGCGAGGGACAAGACAGGGTTGCCCCCTGTCCCCAGCGCTCTTTGTCCTGGCGCTTGAGCCGCTGGCTTTGGTGCTTCGGACCGATTGCAATGTATCGGGGGTTCCTTACGCGGGACAGGAATTCAAACTGAATTTTTTTGCGGATGATGCCCTCCTGACTCTTACTAACCCCCTGATGATGCTTCCTAATTTGCAACAGGTTCTTGAGCGCTTCTCCTTGATTTCGGGTCTCCGTATCAACTTGGATAAGACTATCGCCCTCAATATTACTTTGGCTTCGGATTTGGTTTCGCGCCTACAATCCCACTTCCCTTTCAAATGGGCTTCCTCTTCTCTTGAATACTTAGGCGTTCGCTTGACCCCCACTTATGACTCCTTGTTTGCTGCAAATTATTATCCATTGCTTAGCTCTCTATACTCTCTTATGCATTCTTGGCAATTTCCGCACCTGTCTTGGATAGGACGGGTTAATTCGGTGAAAATGACCATCTTGCCGAAATTGTTGTATTATTTTCGCACACTCCCTGTGCGGGTTCCCCCTCATTTTCTTCGGTTGCTTCAGGCGAAGTTAATGCGTTTTATCTGGGCCGATAAGCACCCCAGAGTATCCAAAAGTACGCTTTTTGCCCATAGACTTCAGGGTGGTCTTGGGGTGCCTAATGTGACTAAGTATTATAAAGCGAGCCAGATTGCCCCGCTGTCTATGTTGCATGCCTCTTCCGACGTCCCCCTCTGGGTCCTGCTGGAACTACCTAATTGCGCCCCTATCGCACTGTCGACGCTTCTATGGCTTCCCCCTGCCCTGCGCCCTATGGCACTGAGTCCGATGTTACTTCATGGCCTACAAGTTTGGGACTCGGTACGTTATTCTGGTGGTCTGATGTCACCTATTCTGCCTTTGCTACCAATTATTAACAACCCTCTTTTCCCGCCGGGTTTGGATCACCCAGGGGCGTTTTCTTGGTGGGTGACTAATGGTTTTTCACAGGTGCGACACTTTTTGATTTTTCGGTCCTTTCCCACCTGGGACTCTCTTCGGGAATCCCGGAATATCCCCCCAGCGGAATTTTTTCGATATCTTCAATTGCGACACTGGCTGCTCTCGCTGCGGGGTACTTCTGCGTTCCCGTACCAGAAATCTGCCTTTGAACAGCTTTGCCAACAGCATCCGGGCGCTCCGGGCCTTATATCCCTTCTTTATGCAGCTCTGAACAGACGCTCGTCGCATACTCGAGCGCGACCTGGGAGTGGCTGTAAATCCGGAGGACTGGAATAAGGCCTGGTCACTCATAGCTAAATGCTCATTTAATACGACCACACTGGAGGCAGCCTATAAGGTATTATTTTGTTGATACTGGGTTCCGGCTCGGTTGGCCCGGGCTAACCCTGCCTGTAGTGATCAATGTTTTCGGGGTTGTGGCCATCGTGGTGATGTGTTGCATGTCTGGTGGTCATGCCCGAGACTTCGTTTTTGGTCTCGTGTATTTGGCCTCCTTTTCACCTTGTTCCATCTCTCCATACGCCGGGATGTTCGGTATGCTTTGCTTCATTGCCCCATACCGGGCCTCTTGGCTCACCAGCAGAAGTTGGCTTCCTATCTGTTTTTTATCCGCCACTAGAACAATTGCTCAGGCCTGGAAGAGTCCGTTTGTCCCTCTTCAGGGGGTGCGGGATCGTATGACCACTATGATGCTCAACGAACAGATGTCGAGTATCCGCAATGACTCCCAATGTAAATTTTTTAAAATATGGGAGCCGTGGTTGCAATACGCCCTTCCCTCACTCTCCCCGGCTAGTCTGGAGATGTAATGGCGTTAGGTGTTGGCGCTCTTGAATCCCTGCTCTTTGCCCCCCCCTTTTTTCTTTTTTTTTTTTTTTTTCTTTTCCTTTTTCTCTCTCTCTCTGTTTTTGGTGTGACTAGGACAGCTGCATTTAGTTGTTATATTCAGTTACATTAATGTTTTGTAACTTATGTGCCATTGATAGCCCCTGCGTGGGCGTACCTTTTGCCCGTTGGCATTAGAGCATTGTT